TTATTTTCCAAAAAATACATATCTGGGGACTGGCTCTTTTTTTTTTTATCACAGTCTTGGATATGTCAAAGATTAGAAACAAAATGGATTTTTTTTCATTATTAGTTTTTCGGGACAAAAATGTCCACTTCCAAAAACTGCTCTAAAATGACAACAGATTAATATTTTTTTTTAAATCTTGGGGTTAAATCTTTCAATCAACTTCAGTCCTGATCAAAAATACCAAATGTTAACTTATGTTCAGGGTTTTAACCCTTTAACTGCCAGTTTGAAAACACGAATTTGCGTTTTCTATGAAAAACATGCACAAACAGGCAGTTATTTTCCATATAATAAATGTTTGGGGGGTCGGCTTTATTTTAATTTTATCACAGTCTTGGATATGTCAAAGATTAGAAACAACATTGATTTTGGTGGATAATTAGTTTTTGCACAGAATCAGATTAAATAAAAAAGTCACACATTAGCCACTCGCGGACAAAAATGTCCCATCCACTCCCATTATAACCACATCTTTTGATCTCTCCGCCATACCGGTATAAAATCATGCATTTTGTAATGTCAGGGTTTTATATTGTAGGAAAATAGTTAAATTTGTCCTTTTTACTGTAAAAACCAGATGTGACATTTTACCATTGAATTACATGCTTGTCATTTATTGGTTTCTTTGCCTGTTGTATAATGGGGCCCTGACAGCCATTGGAATACATGCATGCAACTAATATGATGTAGGTGTGTTGGTATGGATGTGGAAGAGTGGTATCAGCTGAGTGTGTGTGCAACAGCCTAGTGAGGTCTGTTAACATCACATTTATATTAAAAGATTCGGATTCCCGGCCACACCAATACAGCGAGAAGGACAGCACATGTGTAAAATGGTTTATTGATACAAAGTTACCTTAAAAACACTCCTTTGATAAATACTTAAAATAACGTAAGGTTAAAATAATGTTCAATAAATATAAACCAGTTACTTAAGAATTACAGTTCTAGCAAGGGTTGATAAAATCCTGAAAGTCCTGTCCGCTTGGGCGGGACTTTCAGGGGTGTGTCCCCATTGGCTACTCAGTTTTTGAGTGACAGCCCAGTCCTCCAGCAATTGTATAGTGCAGGCAGCTGCGGTGCGGTGGCTAGCTGAGCTGGACAGAAGACCCCGAAGCGAAGTTGAAGAATGCAGGGGGTGTGGAGTGAAAGAAAAATGTGGAACACATCATATTACACTGCAACATGTACAAAACAGAGAGGGAAACACTAAGAGACAGGGTCAGAGAGGCAGGAAGGGAGTGGAGCCTAATGGGGACACTGGGAACAGATGGTGAGGGGGTAATAGCTACCAGGAAGGCCATTCTTAAGTATTTGAGTGAAACAGGATTGATTGGAAGAATTTAAAACAACGTAAATACAGTGGTATAATTCCACAAGTGGTGATAGGATGATATGGCGAAACACACTCTTGTACAGTAGGTGGCGGTATGCACCTTAAAGCTGTCGCCAAAAACCGAGAGAAGAAGAAGAAGAACCTGGATCCATGTGGCGTCTCGTCGCTACTGTTCTCTCTCTCTGTGTTCCTGAGAAAGTGTGTGTGAGCTCCAGCACTACTGATCCATCATCTGTGTGTTTGGATAAACCTCTGAATGGACTGTGTGCTCTTTTTTCTGGAGCGTTTACCTCGGACTATAGGAGCTAGCTTAGCATGCTAGCTGGAAACACGATAGCAACACTAGTCAGATTGAGAGTTTGATGGAGAGAGAAACGGTGTGTTTAACGGGGTCTGCAGGAAAAGGTGATCTAGGAAACATGAGTAAACTCCAAATGCTGCTGTCGTTGAAGAAGCAGCGACTCACTGCTGCTGCTGAAGAGATATTTGCTCTGTTTGAAAAGACGATAGCAGATCTCGAGGAGGAGCTGTCTCTTTCCAAAGAGGAGAACAAGAGACTCCAGAAACTACTGGACGCTGTTTTACAGCCTCAGCTTCGGATACACAGAGCAGGTCTGTTCCCTTTACCCTTAATCAACACTTTACACTCTTCAGTAGCACTTTGTTGTCACATTAACACTTTAGACCATTTATCAGCACTTGCTGCAGGTAGTAGATCCTGAAGTAAAAGTACAAACACCACACTGTGAAAATACTCCATTACAAGTTAAAGTACTGCATTCATATCTTATTTAAAGGAGACCTATCATTCTATATTTAAATGATATAGTGTATGACCATACCTATATAAGGTATATTTATACATTTTATTTTTCAAAATACCAAACGGATCATTTTTTAGCCATGCCTCGTTTCGCTCATTTTCGCTCTATTCCAAGCCTGTCTTTGAAAATTCTGAGCAGCAGCTGACCACGCCCCCCTGCAGAAGAGCGGGGCATGCGCCGGCGAGAGTCACGTTACCATGCTTGCTGTGATTACGTGTGGAATAAACATGTCATCTCAGAGCAATGCATGTGTTCAAGCATATTATGAATTTGATCCAGAGACTGACCCTGAAGCAGCGGAGGTTTTGGTGGAGGTGGAAACATCTCGGTTGCAGCAGGACGTTTCTGAATGGTTAGTTGACAAGCTGTTGTCCCTATTTATTTTACTCTGTTACGATGCTTGCTACTTATTCCGTTCATATGTTGGCTAATTAGCAAGAATGCAATGTGTACAGTTTGTAACTTATAGTTTGTAATGCAAAAACAGCAATACATATTTATAAAGGGAGACATTCATATTTTCAGCATATATACAATGGCCTCATTGCGTTTATTAATAGTTTACAGTCCTTTTCTTCCAACATCGTGCAACAACCGTTGGAAAGTTCGATAACTTAGGGTGATAAAAAGTATAACTCCAACAACACCTCAGTTGTCAGCAATGTGTGTAGTTTCATGTGTTTTTAAAAGCTCAGTTATTGACTTCTTTCTACAGGTGTACATGTGCAAATTGCGCCACGATGCCTTCTGAACCGGAGAATGTGTGCTGCATGGAGATACCACAGGTAACATTTTTGATAGCTTCACTAAGTTGTCTGTTTAGAGAATACATTTTTCACATGTCATTCAATATATCTTTATCACACTAGGTGTCAAGACGGATGCAGGAACTTGAAGACTCTGTTAACTGTATGGTGGACCATCCTGGATTGGAGCCTGTGTGCCTGAATGTGTCCTCCCTGCAGAATGCATTTAATATTTACAGAGCTGAACATGGTGGACTACAGTTGAGGCAAATAGAGCAGTGAGTGGTTTGTTTGTTTTGACTGAAATTGTAAAACGAATGCTAATATTGTTCATGGAAATAAATACTGGTGTATATGGCTTTATGCAATCTTTCATTGTACATGTACTATTATATATATATATATATATATATATATATATTATTACACAGCAATGGCATAACACACCCAAGTGTACGACTAAAAAAGTCCACACACAACCTTATGCTTTTGAAATCAGAATATTCTTTACCCATCCAAACATAAATAATCACGACACATTTGATATCAACTCTGAACTTTATTGTCATAATGAACGGTTCTTTGAACCCATAAAAAAAAACTAAATGTACTTGTATTATATATAAATGACACTAAATATATTTTGTAATGATTTCAGGCGTCACAGGTATCTAGCCTACTGAAGCTTTGTGAGCTGGTGCTGGGGCTTCCTTGGACGCAGGATCAGAGTGGTGATTCCGGCCTGCGTTGTCCTCAGGATTCGCAGAGAGTTTCCTGATCCGCGAAATATCTATGTTGGGTTCAGACAGCAGCCAAATTGAACCGAGTAGCATACCCGGAGATGACCTCCTCCCTGTCAGGTCGCTCATATTGGGAACACAGGTCCCCTGGGATGGGTATCTTCAGAAGCTCCTGTGTGAATGGTGCAGGGTCCACAAAGACTTGGTCGAAGATGAGGTCCATCAAGTTGGCCACGTAGCCTGTGCAATGTTAAAAAAAAGCACAACCAAAAATGTGGTTTACATTAGTATATGCATGTACAAAACTGAGTTATTTTTAATTTATTTATTTTATATTTGTAAATAGTTGTATAATAAATATTTTAAACACTTACAGAATGTGGGGTCAGTCTTTACTGGTTTTGCTCTGCATTCTCCCTTCCTGGCCTTTGGGAACTGCAGTTTATACAGAGGCTTTCCAGTGGATGTAGTGGCTTGTGCACGCTCAGCGTTTTCATTGTAGTGCAGGGCTGCCAGGTACAGTCTTTCATTTCCGCCATGAGTAAAAAAAAAAAATGTAAATAATAGCAAAGGATGTACAAATTGTCACTAATTAGTAAGTAACTATGGTTTATTTTACCTGCACAACATTCTTTGGAGCAAAGCGCAGGATGACGACATGGAATGACTCCAAAGATGAAGTCTGGTGGTGTGGGCTGAGTTTGGCCACAGCTTTCAAAATCCTCTTGGTTGAGAGAATTGTCTCCAGCTTGTGAAAGGCCGGCGTTCCTAAGAATTTGAAAATGAAAGTCATATTTGAATTGTCATGCTTTATAGATTGTGTCTGACAACATCCTGTATTCAATAGTTGTCCCTTACAAATATTTATAGAGGAGTAATGTAATATGGTTTATGAACAACACACCTGCAGCCATCCATTGGTATTGCGCAATGCGCAGTGGATGAAGGCACTTGGGGAACAGGGGGTCATCATGAGAGTGGATATCCTGCACATGGTTCAGGATGGAAGTCCATTTGGCCACTCTCTCAGGCCCGGTGGTGGAGGTTGCTGCAGTCCAGTATATGTGGTTTCTTATACTCTTCACCCACCCTCGAAGTTTTTCGCAGTCCTTCTTTTTTGCAGCCTTCTCCAGTTGCTTAGAAATCCCTAATAAATACATTTAACATGTAGTTAATATACATACAAGTTTACTCAAAATATTATTATACTAATGTGATTGTAGGAAGCCGGGTTTGTGTCTAAATAAAATAATGATTGTATTTACAATCGATTTATTTACATGGAAATTAATATAAAGAAAAATACCTTTTTTCTATGTGCCACACATCAAAGAATTGGGTGATGCTGCTTTCCCTTAGGAATTTCTGAATTTGCAGATGTCTGTCCGTGACAATACAGTCCAGAGTCACACCACGTTCCTTTAACAACTCCAGACTCCTTTTCAGGCCCTCTAACTCCATGTGGTAGCTTCCACCAACCTCATTGCTCTGTTATGACACATACAAATAACCATTGATACACACATTTTAAATATAACGTGCAAACAGTGTTAAAGAAAAAAACATTGATATTTCATTTCACCCCACTTACCTGAACCAACTGGAGGTCAACGACTTTGTTGTTCTTCAGGTCCATCATAGTGTAGCTTCCGAACTTTGCAGAGTGGCCTGTGAAAATATGTTTTACAGTAATTACTTTTCTCTGCGGATGGTGAATTTGTATTTTTGCTTGTAGTGTTTAGCATATGTTTTTCAGGAACCATTAATTAAATAAATCACGCATAGTGAAACCCCTTTCTGAAATGTAAAATATATAAAAAATACATACCTGGGGAGTCAGCCCTCATATCACCACCAACTATCACTTTCTCCTCTGCATGGAGCTTCTGTAGCATGCCTTCCTGTGATTTTTGCCAGTAAGAAACAATCGCTGGCTCAATGAACATCCTGGCATGCCTTCGGAAGGTGTTGTATTTGCATAGCTGCATATTCATTGCTTTGAAGACCTAATGGTTGAAAGAAAACCGCAAGAATACATTTTAATCTCAAAGATCACCTGTAGATGTGTCAATGAGGAGAACCTGGAAAGTGCAAATGAGCTGCCCTTTTTTTAAACGGGGAAAGAGCTGAACATGTCATTAGGGGTGCTTACTCTACAGTGCCCCTTTCACATCTCTTCTCTTTCTCCACACCACCCTCCCAAAATATCTTTACATATTAGCATGGGTCGTTACCTAACAGTGCCCTATTCCCACCTTTTCTCACTATTGTTATTGTTACCTTGTCCTATCGTATTCAACAACAACATTTGCATTTTCAAACATTGGCAAAACAATCTTCTGCAGTTAATTTACCTTTGAAAGTTTGTAGAAAGATGCTCCGTTGACATATGTTGCAACTGATAGCTACAGGTTTCCAACTGGAGTACTCCCAAGAACAGGCTGGCTATTCCAGTTTCTTGTAAACTGACAATGGGGGCACAGCTGCTGCACTGATATGAATGTACCGATCCTTCTGGTTTGTACATCACACACACGCTTGCACACAGGACATGATTCAAAAAGCTCCATGAGGCAGGTCTCATACACGATGTATGTGTTGATCGTCTGGGGGGGGGTTTTGTTCTTGACCACTAAAACAAAAAAATAGAAGTTAAGATCCTTCACACAGATTGTTGCTTTAGAGATCTTTGGTGTTTCCCTATTATCAATGTTTGAATTATATACAGCAAAAAATACAATACATAGACAAACTCACACATAGTGATATTTCAGTAACTTACGACATGGCTGTTGTTTCTGTAGCATTTGTTATGGATTCTGCTGGATCATAAGTTGCATCCTGGCCTTCGGAAAACACCAAAGAAGAGCTTCCCTCAAATGGATCTTCGTATTCCTCTTCAAGATCCACACGGGGCCTCTTTGGTGGTCTCTTTAAGGGGGTGGATGTTAAAAAGGGCACTGGCACTTCCAACGGAAGTGTTTCGACACCAACGCTTCTGCAGGGAATTTTAGCCTGGACAGCTGTAACATAATTGTATTTGACATTAAAAACTAGGGGTGCACCGAATGGGAAATTCTTGGCCGAAACCGATACCGAAAATAGGAAACAGTTGGCCGAATGCCGAAAGGCCGAAAATGATTAATAGAAATATATATATATATATATATATATATATATATATATATATATATATATATATATATATAATGTATACATTTTTTACCAATGTTGTTCAGCTACCTGATTATGGAAATAGACATGATTATGGCAAAACTTAACTTAAATAATAATCACTATTATGGGTCCATAAAACATTTATTCAGCACTTTTGAATGCATACAGTACATTTATATATGTCATGTATTATTGCTAAAAAACATTATATCGCAGTCTTAGTGTCGCCAACTCGTTTCTAATATGCAAAGACAACAAATGCGTCTATGATGTATTTTTGATCAGACGAGATCTCTCTCCGCCGTCTGTGTGCGAGGGGGCGGGGCAGTTTACACACACGCAGCTGCTACATGCAGCGGAGCACACTGCGGAGATGGCGGAGAGAACGCGCTCCGAGGTGTGGTTAAACTTTACCCGTCTCGATGTGGAGAATACTTGTTACCAAAAGTGCAATAAGAGTTTAGCATGTAAGCACGAGCAATTTGTCTAAACATTTAGCAAAAGTGCACCGCATGCAGACGGAGGAATGTACCGGGTTCGACCGTCTTTCTAGCAGCTCTGTAGCCCCATCCACGAGTAACGTTTCCACGTCAGGTGTTATGTATGCTAGCAGCTACACGGAGTTAACTACATGATACAAACATGGGTTAATGATTAGAGGAAACTGAGTTATTTAGTTTGTTAAAATTTCAGCTATTCTGTTTACAGTTCTGTCATCAGATTATTTAATACGATTTGTGAAAGGCTCAGGGCAATCTCGATGACAAAGGTCAATGTCCCCCCCCCCCCCCCCCCTGTGAGCCAGCCGCGAGCATGGTCGCCGCGTCTTTATTACGTCATCACAACAACACGTTAGGTTACCAACGTAAGCCTGTTCTGACATTCGGTGATATTTTTTCGGTGCTAAAACCCTTTCGGCCGAAAGCCGAAAGGGCCTTTTTAACCATTTTCGGCCGATAATTTTCGGTGGCCGAATATTCGGTGCATCCCTATTAAAAACAAAACAAAAGATAAAACAAAAATATTTTTACAACAATTAGAAGCACACAAATTAAAGGCTACAACATCAGAATGTCAAGATGTATCCAAAGAACATTTGAAAAACGTGCTTCTAACCTGTACTTCGATGTGAACCAAGAGTCCTCGAGGATAGCTGTGTAGAACAGTACGGTACTTGGGTGGGTCAGTCTGACATGCAGAATCTGTCATCACAGGTAATCTGCTGGTAGCATGTGAGGTGCTGGCCTGTAAAGAAGAAAACAAAATCATCTCAATTTAGTATTCAGGATGAGAAAATACTATTTGGATAAATATTGTCTGAAATCCCAAAAGATGGGGGCTAAAACTCTCTATTTAGCAAAGCTCTTTGCTTAGCCTTTTCCAATCTGAGTTAGTTTTGAACCGTAACGTGCATGCTGTGTTTCTGACTCAATACAGATGATGTGTTGGAGAGGGGCTGAGCTCAGTAGACTGACTGTAATGAGTGCTAGCCACTAATTAGCCTGTTGCTAGGTAAGGCCTCGTCAACAACAACAGACCAACGGGGATTTAGTTCTGTTTTACTCGTGGTGTGTGTCCCCCCTCACATACATACAGTGTTGTATCCTAACACATCCCCATTTATATTCATGTGCGTAAACAAGTAAACATACAAAAGCTTTTACATATAACGCTGGAAAAAACGGCATGTCTCATTAGCGTAGCGTAGCTTACAGATCTGATCGTTCTTAGAGACTACAATCACAAAAGCTTTTACATATAACGCTGGAAAAAACGGCACTTACCTACAGAAGATTACGTTTGTTATTATAACTTACTCAATATGATTTTAGAGGATACAAAATACTAATAAATAGGAGAATAAATACTTGTGTTATCGGCTAGGGCGTGGCTTTACAGCCTTCACACAGATCGCCATTACGGCAGTATGTCTGAACATGTTAGCAAATGCCTGATAATTAAAATAAAAGACAAAGCAAAGACTGCGGAGCGTACAATATAAAATGTTATAAAAACTAACCGATTACTATTTGGGTTTGAGGCGACATTGATACGGCGAAGCTACATGCTACATACTACAAGCTAGAGATAGCTTTATCAGGAAAAACACCGCTAAATAAAAACTTACAGCTTCAAAATTGGATGTGTCCTCACTGGCCTGCTCCCGGATGGTTGGTATTGATCCCGGGTTTAGCATTAGCTTGGAGGCATATCCGTGTTGGACTTGAGAGAAGTTCATAAACATGTCCGTGGTAAAATGTTTGGAACACACAAACAGAAATCTGCCGTGGTCTTCTGGCACATGTCCCTTGAAAATGAAGTCTAGCCACAGATTCTTTTCTTTTTCCACTGATGGTATTGCATGCAGTCCCCCTTCTCGAGTCTTGCAGCCAACAACAGCACAAAGTTTAACTCGCTTAGACATCCTGGCAAGAGCAGGCAAAAACACAGATGTGACTGGAGTTGATTTAGCCTGCCGATAGCCTATATGCGAATGAGAGGTTTGGCAATGCACGTGGCCGTGGCTCATTCCCCTGATAGGTGGAGAGTTGACCAATAAGCGGAGCACGTCTCTTTGTGACGTAGGAAAGTGTTGAAATTTTTCAGATCCGTTTCAGCCCCTTTTTTAGAGATTTGGCGAAGGAGGAAAATAGAGAGGGTTGTGTTTTCTGACACTTGGTGAGTTCCCTGGAACACCGGGGACACATATTCATGTATAAAAGACGTCCAAAGGTGCATTTTGCATGATAGGTCCCCTTTAAGTAAAAGTACGTAAGTATTATTAGACACATGTACTTTATTATAATAATTCAAATGTATTGCGGAAGAGCAAACCTACCAAAATAAATATATTTATAAAAATACATAGGCCTACATTGAATAATATGCCATTTAATGTACTGATTTAAATATTACCCATACATGTAGGCACTAGTTGGTTAAATGTGACATACATTGATTCTTTAGTTTTAATGTGCTTCTTTATTCACCTTTTCTTTTTAAATGTGTAAAAGCAAATAAAAACAAATACTTTGGATTAATTCAAATTGCGCGAGAATAATTGATGTAGAAATCAATGAATAAATATGTAGCAGCCAAAATCATATAGAAATAAAACAGATAATTAACTTAAAATAATACAGCCGCTGAGGCACTAGTTAGCAGATCTTACCAGGGCAATGATCCCGGTCCAGACAAGATTCTCCATTTGTGCAGTTTATTCCGATAACAAAGTACAACGAACAGGTTTCCTATATCCCTTTTCCTTAAGCCTTTCCTATGGCTTCATTTTTGCTGGCTTGAAACACCGTTTACACACAAAAAACCGTTTGCCTACTAGTGCTCTGGCTCCCACCTGTCTCAAATATATACAATTACACCAGGTGCTCTAATCACCAGTGCCCAAAACATGCCTTCAAAATAAAAGCATAGAAACTACTTATGAGACTAACTAAGAATACATTTACAATAAACACTATAAAATAGCAAGAACATAAATGTTAAACTATTAAATAATATAAAGAGATATATAGCTCCAACAAAATATGTTCAATAATAAGTTAAACACATCTAAAATGTTACTTGAACTAGTACAAAGGTCATTAAGTAATTAAAACATTAATACAAATTAATGTAAAATCTCATCAATCAATTATTGCCAACATGTATTTATAATATATTCTGTATATATATGTATTGTCATTATACACAGAGTATAACGAGATTCAGAGTGCCACTCTGTCCCGGTGTGCAAAAAATACAAACACATACATAACACTAAAAAACACGGCAATAGGACAGACAACATAAACAATCATACGAGGGAATTAATAGTTAAAAATATTGATATAAAAATAGTATATAAAGTGCATTAAAAGTATGTGTGAGAATGGTTATGGTTATTGCATTATGTGTGGTGGTTAAGCAGCCTGACAGCCCAGGGGTCGAAACTGTTTGTCCGTGACTTGAAGCTCCTGTATCTTCTCCCAGAAGGCAGGAGAGAGAACAGTCTGTGACCTGGGTGAGAGCTGTCCTTTATTATTTTGTTAGCTCTGTTGGGGCAGCGGGAGGTGGAGATGTGTTCCAGAGAAGGCAGGGGGCAGCCGATGGTTTTCTCTGCCATCCTGATCACTCTCTGCAGGGCTTTCTTGTCTGCAGCTGAGCATCCTGCATACCACCCCGAGATGGAGTATGACAGCACGCTCTCGATGGTCGCCCGGTAGAAGGACATCAGCAGCTTCTTGTTCAGTCGGTTTCTCTGAAGCACCCTCAGGAAGTGTAGTCGCTGCTGGGCCTTCTTAACTGCTGCAGTGGTGTGTGCTGTCCAGCTGAGGCTCTCCGAAATGTGAACCCCCAGGAACTTAAAGGTCCCATGTCATGCTTTTCCGGTTATTACCCGCTTGACAGTTTTTCCACTAGTATGTCAGGTATGATGGTGTTAAAAGCTGAGCTAAAATCGACAAACAGCATCCTTATATAGTTGCCTGGGCCTTCTAGGTGGCTCACAGCTGTGTGAAGGACCATGGCGATGGCATCATCTGTGGATCTGTTGGCTCTATAGGCAAACTGATGAGGGTCAAGGGAGGGTGGGAGGTTGGCTTTGATGTAGTCGGCTATTAGTCTTTCGAAACATTTCATCACCGCCGATGTTAGGGCTATGGGCCTGTTGTCGTTGAGCTCTCTGACTGGTGTCTTTTTGGGGACAGGAATGATGGTAGCCGTTTTTAGACAGGATGGAATGCAAGCTTGTGACAGGGACAGGTTGAATATCCTGGTCAGGACCCCTGAAAGCTGGTCAGCACAAGCTTTGAGTACTTTGCCGAGTACTCCATTGGGTCCTGCGGCTTTTCCAGGATTCACAGACCTCAGCGTCACCTGATGTTCTTTGAGAGTGGGAGGTGGTATGGAGCTGGTAGTTTGCAGGGACAGGGGCAGAGTAGAAAAGTGGGGGGGTCTGCTAGACTCAAAGCGAGCAAAGAAGTGGTTTAGTTCCTCTGCAAGGTGGGCGACGGCGTCAGCTCTAGTAGTGCCAGATGTTTTGCCCTTATAGTTGGTTAGCTGTTGAAGGCCCTGCCAAACGCACCGTGTGTTTTTATGAGTGAGATTCTCCTCCACTTTTTCCTTGTAGTCCTCCTTTGCAGCCTTGATGCTTCTACTCAGATTCACCCTTGCCAAGCTGTACTGGGCTGCGTCCCCCGTCCTGAAGGCTGTGTCACGGAAACTCATGAGAGACCGCACCGTTCTTGTCATCCATGGTTTTTGGTTTGGGTAGACCCGTAAGCATTTTTCCACAGTTACAGTGTCTGTGCAGAACTTGATGTAGGATAAGACGGGCTCTGTGTGTTCCTCCAAGTCTGTCTGTTCAAATGTGTCCCATGCTGTGTGTTCGAAGCAGTCTTGCAGTTGTGAGAGTGCCCCCTCGGGCAGGTTCTGATATATTTTACCACCGGCTTGGTGTCACTTCTGAGGGGGGTGTAAGCTGGGATGAGAAGCAGTGAGAGGTGGTCAGATAGACCTAAATGGGGGAGTGGTGCCTCTCTGTAGGCATGCTTCAGGTTAGAATACACCCGGTCCAGTGTATTCTTTCCTCTGGTGGTACATTGTATTATATAGCTGTGCCGCCACTATTTGTGTTGTGGAATATTTTCCAAGGCCCATAACTTTGACCCAGTTTATCAGTTCAAACTGTCCTGACTGAGCACACGCACCTCGTAACCTTGGCTGCTGTGCTCTCAGTGTTCTGTCTCCCTGTTCCTGCCTGTTGGCATCAGCTGATAGAGGTGTTATGATTTTATCTTGTTATGCAGCATGTTGATGATGCTCTCAGAACTAGCTAAATACATGGGTCTGAGGTAGAGTTCTTTAGAATTGACGTGGCAACCCACCCGTGCAGTCAGATCATGGCTGCTGTGACTTGTGATGTGAATTCTCCGGCCGTAACTCCAAATAAATCATCAGCGTTTGACATCGAAGCTCCTGCTCTACCGTGTCTCCTTCCTGAGTCGGTGACTCCCACTGCATTGCTACACAGAAGTTTCCCTTACAATATGTATATAGGGTAAACACAAAAACCAATTAAAATAAACAAAAAACATTGAATGAGAAGGTGTCCAAACGTTTGACTGGTACTGTACTGTATATAGAAAACACACACATTTTAATATTTAGCAGGTTCCCTCATCTATAATCATTTATGCAAGCGCAACTTTGAACATGTACAGCAGTAAAATGCAACATACAAAATAATCAAGAAACAACATAAATTAAACACTGACAGGGAACATTTTACTGCACCATCATTACTTTTACATAAGAACCTGCCGTAAAATGTTCTGTTAATACTTGCATACTTTTACTTAAATAAGGTTTGAATGCAGGATTTAATTTGTAACAGAGTATTTTAATTCTATACTGTAGGCGTAGTGTGTCTGTGAACGATCCCAAATACAATTCATTGTTTACATTGCGGCTAGTGCTACGCCAGAAGAAAAAAACCTTTTTCATTTTCAAAGGGGCTGGGCTACATGAGGTGAATTGAGCCAACACAAATACACAATAGGTGGGACTAAGAAAGATAATGTGAAAATATAAAAACAAAGGCATTAATTAGGGCTGCAAAATGTCTCCAATTGTAATGGTGATTAGATTTTTAACAGTTTGTTCTGACTGTGTGTTTCCTGTTTCCTGCAGACGTCCAGCAGCTGGTGGTGGTTAAAGAAGAGCTTCTCCCTGACCAGCAGGAATGGAGCACCAGTCTGGACCAGGAGGACCCAGAGCCCCCCCAACACATTAAGCAGGAACAGGAGGGAGAGCAGCTTCAGGAGCTGGAGGAGGCTGATATCACTAATTCCACTTTCACTCCTGACCCTGTGAAGAGTGAAGATGATAAAGAGAAACCTCAGTCCTCACAGCCTCATCAAAGACAAACTGAACACATGGAAACAGAAGCTGATGGAGATGACTGTCGAGGACCAGAACCAGCCAGGAACTCAGATCCAGAGAGCAGTTTACAACCAAAGACTATGGAGGACACTGGAGACTCTTCTGAACCGGACACTGGAGACTCTTCTGAACCTGACACTGGAGACTCTTCTGAACCTGACACTGGAGACTCTTCTGAACCTGACACTGGAGACTCTTCTGAACCTGACACTGGAGACTCTTCTGAACCTGACACTGAAGACTCTTCTGAACCTGACACTGGAGACTCTTCTGAACCTGACACTGGAGACTCTTCTGAACCTGACACTGAATACAGTGCTGATTGGAAAGAGACCAGAGAACCAGCATCAGGTTCAAACTCACTGAAAAATAGACATGAATCTGTCAGTGATCCACGACGTAGTGCTGAACATAAACCATTCAGCTGCTCAGTCTGTAAAAAAGCTTTTTCACAGAATGGAAGTTTAAAGGACCACATGAGAGTCCACACAGGAGAGAAACCCTTCAGCTGCTCAGTTTGTAAGAATGCTTTTTCACGGAGTGGAAGTTTAAAGGACCACATGAGAGTCCACACAGGAGAGAAACCATTCAGCTGCTCAGTCTGTAAGAAAGCTTATTCACATAGTGGAAGTTTAAAGACACACATGAGAGTCCACACAGGAGAGAAAGCACACAGCTGCTCAGTCTGTAAGAAAGCTTTTTCACACAGTATAGATTTAAAAGACCACATGAGAGTCCACACAGGAGAGAAACCATTCAGCTGCTTAGTCTGTAAGAAAGCTTTTTCACGGAGCGGACATTTAAAGAGACACATGAGAGTCCACACAGGAGAGGAATCATTCAGCTGCTCAGACTGTAAGAAAGCTTTTTCACGGAGTGATAATTTAAAGTCACACATGAGAGTCCACACAGGAGAGAAAGCACACAGCTGCTCAGTCTGTAAGAAAGCTTTTTCACATAGTGGACATTTAAAGAGACACATGAGAGTCCACACAGGAGAGGAAAAATAGAGCTGCACAGTTTGTAACAAAATATTTAAATGGTTTAATCGTTTCAAAAGACACAAGTGTGTTGGTCGTCAGCTGCTTCTGTAACTGTAAGGGAATACATTTGTCTATTTTGTATCCTGATGACCTAATGCCGTTACATGTAATACGTGACTCCCTAAGCCTGATTTCACCCGCCTGCAACCGATTCACTAATAATCAGAAATGTTCATTTCTTTGACCCCTTGACTCGACTATTTCTTGTTTAATAATCGTTACATCTCCTCGGGACCAAGTTCCCGTGTCCTGCCTTTCACCTGCTGATCACCCACTGCTCATTTAAGGTGGACTCACCTTCCCTCCTCCTGCTCTTTTCTCTTCTCCCTCTTTTTCTCACATTACGCACAGTAAGTAGTAAGTAGTAGTTGATGCCAATATGTCTCTGTTTATGCTGCTTTATACTTCTACTTTACTACATTTCAGAAGACAGTATTGTACTTTTTAATCCACTGCATTAAATTCACAGCTTTTAGTTACTAGGTAGATATAGATTATTAGATCATTCAAAAATATAAATCAATTATTAAATACACCTTGACAGTTATTTATAGGATAAGATATCCAGCAGCAGGACATAAGGTTATTCAAAGTAGCTCTACATTTACTAACTGTGATAACACACACATACTTTTGGTACTTTAAGTATATTTTGATACCAATGCTTTTGTACTTTTACTTGTAACACAGTATTTTTACCCTGTAGTATTTGTACTTTTGATTTAGTAGAATATCTGAATACTTCTTACACCACTGCTACCATAAGTGTGGAGCCATGTGCTACAAAAGCCTGAATTTAAAACAAATACTTTACAGCTGAAGACTGTTTTCAAATGTAGAGCAGGTTGTAAGCGAGGCTCCGTTTGTAAATTCCTCCCCTTCAGATCCACGCTGAGGAGGATGAGTGTAACCAACATGTGGGTAAAGTACAAGAGCTGATAGGCCACATTCACTGCTCACACACACATGCTGTTCAGATCACAGCTCACATAGTTTCAGCTCTCAGGAAGTGAAACTCAGACACTCGCTGCCACTGAGAGGTGAAATGGCGCAGTAAGGAGTTCAGCTGGAGCGGGAAACCTTCTCTTGTTCCATCTGTCTGGATCTACTGAAGGATCCGGTGACGACTCCCTGTTGACACAGCTACTGCATGAAGTGTATTAAAGGCTTCTGGGACAGAGAGGATGAGAAGAAGATCCACAGCTGACTCAGTGTAGGCAGAGCTTCACACCGAGGCCTGTCCCGCTGGAAAACACCATGCTAGCAGCTTTAGTGGAGGAGCTGAAGAAGACTGGACTCCAAGTTGCTCCTGCTGATCACTGCTATGCTGGAGCTGAAGAGGAGAGACGCTGAGCTGAAGCTGCTGTCTCACACAGAGGATCACAACCAGTTTCTGCACAGCTACCCCTCACTGTCAGCCCTCAGTGAACCTACACACTCCTCCAGCATCAACATCCGACCTCTGAGCTACTTTGAGGACATGACGGCGGCCCTGTCAGCAGTCAGAGACAAACTACAGGACGTCCTGAGAGAGGAATGGACAAACGTCTCACCGACTGAAGTGGATATTTTACTGTCAGCAGCAGAGCCCACCACCAGAGCTGGGTTCTTCAAATATTCACAGGAGATCACTCTGGATCCAAACACAGCAAACACACGGCTGGTATTATCTGAGGGGAGCAGAATAGCAACATACATGAGAGGGGCAGAGGTTGAAGTAGCAGTCGCATACAAGAATATCAGCAGAGTAGGGGGTGGGAATGAATGTGGATTTGGAAACAATGACAAATCTTGGGCGTTATATTGTGACAAAAACAGTTATTCATTTCTTTACAACAGTATCAAAACTCCCGTCTCAGGTCCTCTGTCCTCCAGAGTAGGAGTGTACCTGGATCACAGAGCAGGTATTCTGTCCTTCTACAGCATCTCTGAAACCATGACTCTCCTCCACAGAGTCCAGACCACATTCACTCAGCCGCTACATGCTAGAGTTGGGCTTTATTATCCTAATGGAACCACAGCTGAGTTGTGTAAACTGAAATAGCCTGATGTCATTTGAGGATCTCTTCTACTTCTTAAACTCATTGCATGTTCATCATTGTGGCTGAGAGCTGGTTGTTCATGTCTTCACTGCACAGAGATCAGCTGTCAATCTAACATTATGGGATGTGCTTTAACATCTTCTCATGAGTTGTTCTGTAGATGTTGGAGTTTCTTTAGGCAACGCTCCTTCCTGTGTCTGTTTAGCCATGGAGGCTGTCACTGCTCAGGAGGATTTCTGTCAACCTCAACTGATATTTCTCTGCATGAAAATGTAAACTTTGCTCTAAATATTCGTTGAATAGGTCTTTTAGTTTTGACTAAGTCTCAATGTGTTGAATGCATTAATGAAAGTTTGAAAAAGGAAAGAAAACACATTAAAAGAAAAGCTAATAGGTTGAGTTTGTTATACATTGTGTTTCTATTTTCAAGATGTGAGATGAGTGCCACATTTACAGTAAAAAATAAAATGTTGGGATTTTTCTTGTTAATAAAAGAGCTAAGAGAACACAAGTGATAATCTCATTCTTTGTTTGTAATCTTAAAATGAATAATTTTCATTTCATTTCAAACCTTTATTTATATAGATAAATCCCATTGAGATCATTGATCTCTTTTTCAAGGGAGACCTGCTCAAGTAGTTCCACATGAAACATACAACATAAATAGAACAACAAAAGCACATCATACAGCATCATTTACATAATTATCCACATAAACAGGTACCTATAGCTTCCGATTGACTAGCATCCAACCGAGCTTTAAAAACATTTAGTGGCACCAGATTGTTCAATTTCCATTTAATTTGCAGACTATTCCAAGACAGAGGAGCTGCGCATCTAAAAGCTGTCTTCCCTAAGACAGTCCTAGCAGTTGGCACATTCAATAAAAACACAGCATGCGATCTCAGGCAGTAGCCACTTACAATTTTCCGTGAGATCAGGGAGCAGATATAAGATGGAAGTTTCCCTAACATGGCTTTGTATATAAAAATGTACCAGTGACTGAGCCTCCATACAGTTAGTGAAAGCAAACCAGCCCTAGCATACAGGGTACAGTGATGGGTTAATGCTTTACAGTTTGTCACAAATCTCAGTGCACTGTGATACGCAGCATCTAACTTGACCAGGCAATTGGCAGGTGCATTCATATAGATCAAATCACCATAGTCCAGCACAGGTAAAAAGGTCACAGTGACTAGCCTTTTCCTGGCCTCAAGCGAGAAACGGGACTTGTTCCTGTAGAAGAAACATAGCCTAACCCTCAGCTTTTTAAGCAGGTTATTGACATGAAGTTTAAAAGTGAGACAATCATCAAGCGAGATACCAAGGTATTTGTAACAGGTAACCACTTCAAGTTGTATTCCTTGCGTAGTTACAATATCTAAAACAGGCTCTGGTGTCTTTTTAGCTTTAGAAAAGAGCATTACCTTGGTTTTCTCAACATTTAAAAGAAGCTTTAGTTCAGAGAGCTGAGTCTGAATAATGTTAAAAACAGCCTGTAATTTAACACCAGCCTCCTTAATGGAGGGACCTGCACAGTACATAACGGTATCATCCGCATAAAAATGTAAAGTAGCTTCATCCACATTTTCACCTAAACTGTTGATGGAGATGGAGAATAAAAGTGGACCTAAAACAGAGCCTTGGGGAACACCATTTGCAATGTTCAACCACTCAGAAGACAGCCCATCAAAATGAACACATTGGGACCTTTCAGAGAGGTAGTTTACAAACCACCCTGCATGGCTGGATATGCCTATACTGGCTAGCCTCTGCTTTAAAATGTGATGATCGACGGTGTCAAACGCTTTTGAAAGGTCAATAAATAGAGCTGCACAACTCTGCTTATTATCTAAAATACTCGCCACATCATTCACCACTTTCATTGTGGCAGTGATGGTGCTGTGTTGCTTTCTGAAGCCTGACTGATGTTTAGACAGGATGTCATTTGTACATAAAAACACCTTTACCTGTTCACTCACTAAGCGTTCAAGAACCTTAGCCAGAGCTGACAACTTAGAGATTGGCCTATAGTTATTTAATAAGGTGGCCTCCCCTCCTTTTAGCAAAGGCAGGACATACGCTGACTTCCACAATTTTGGAAATGTGTTAGTGCTGAGGGAGAGGTTACAAAGAGCAGGTATTATCAGAATGATATTTGACAGTGAAAGACTTACAACATTTGAATTACCATTTACAAAATACAGACTTCTAAAAATATTTACAGGTCAGACATTATATGTATAAAAATCCAATTCATTGGAAATCTCAAGAGACTCTCACCTACTAAAGATAGTTTTCCCGGATCACAAAGAACTAAAACACTTTATATCCAAATTCAACTCGGAAATGTTAAATCTAAAAGCAGACCAACTTGGAGGGTTGAGAACATCTTGGTGTACTCTGCTTAACTGTGTGATGCATGATGGTATCTGGGTTCATATCTTGAAGCTACCTTCCAACATTTCAATTTGGAACAGATAAAAAGAGTTATAATATTCTCCTTATATCTATCGTAAGTATGAGACGGGGACCTCACAGAATTGTCCAACATGTGAGACTCATGTAGGGACTAGGCTGCATTGCAATGAAGGAATGCAGCAAAACTCAAGTATTTTGGAGGGCAACATGTGCAAACATCACTACAGCAATCGGTCAACAGGTGTCAGTAGAACCTCTATTGTGTCTGCTTGGATATGGCCCTAGTCCTCTAAAATAGTGGTTCCCAACCTTTTTCAGTCAGGCCCCCCTTGGGTGATTGGAAATATTTGCGAGCCCTCCCTAACCCGGTTCCCACTTAGATTGTTAGAATGAATTAATTGTATTGTATTAATTGTACGAACGTTACATTTTCTCTGCTAATAATAACGAGACAAAAATATATATTATTTTATATATTATTATGGATTGAACATGAACAGAAGTGCTTGTATTGGCAGATGATCCTGTGCCACTGTGAAATAATGAGGCCTGATTGAAACATTTACAAATACTGCTTATCGATCCGGTTCTTTAACAGTATTTTTGTTGTTGTAATTTTTTTACGGGAAAAATTAAACAAATTGGAAACAGAATTCACATTGATTTATTGTATATATAGTATGGATTATGGGCTGCTAGCACACATGACATACCTGCAGTGTTGGTAGTAACTAAGTAGATTTACTCAAATACTGTACTTATATTGAGGTACTTAAGTATTTCCACTTTTGCCTCTTTGTAATTCTGCTCCTCTACATATATTTCATACCTTTAGTTACTTTACAGATCTGGATGAATGATGTGAAATATAATCAACTCTTAAATCAGACTTTAGTTACACCTGGAGTAAATTCACAAGCTACCCTGCAGTATACTACTTTTACTTAAGTACTTGATCTGAGCACTTCTCCCACTCTACACGGAAGTTGAAAATGGTGCATTTCTCCGTATAAATATGATGCCTTTTGGCCAGCTGATGGACAGATTGCTCGTGTTTCCGCGCCCCCCCCAGGTTGGGAACCACTGCTCTAAAACATCATGAGGATGTTGTTCAGTCTTAATACTGGCCAGGAAAGCCATCATGGTGAAATGGGTCGGGGACGACACCCCCCCCCCCCCCCTCCCCTATCTCCATGTGGAAGACACTGAGGTATTGAGTCTGGAAAGAATAAAGCTCTGTCTGGATGGAAGGTCTAATGTTTCCCTACAGAAGTGGAGTAAACCCCTGGAATCTCTCTGTGTTAAATACTGTTTGGGGTTACCTAAATGAACACTGGACATTGTGTTTGGAAGAATGCTGGATTTGAGACTGACAGATTATAATTTTTGCTCCATGTATTATTATACAGTCATTGTAACATGTCATGTCTTGATTTGTTGTGGGCGCGCTGCCCTTTGCCTCGTTCAATTTAGCAGTTTTAAATGTCTCGTTTTAATAACATTTTTGTTTGTTGCTTTGTGTGCCTTCTTAAAAAATCAATACCATTAAATATTGAGTGAAGTAAAAAGTTGTCAGAAAATAAATATATATATAAATATATATATATATATATATATATATATATATATAGATATATAGATAGATACAGTGCAATAAGCTTCTTAGTGCAATAAGAAGCTACAGGGACGTTAATCTACGTCGGTAATATTAACTTTACTTAATACAACACTTACGGTACAAGATTTAATCATACAGCCCATGTAGTATAATATTTTACAAATGATGAATTACAGCAAACATGTGCAATATATCCATTATTACAGCTCCGTGGGCTGGCAGTAAAGCGATATGGGTCCTTTCTTATTGTGCATCCATGGGTAAAGATAAACGCATGTAGTGCTGAACACGTACCATGAACGTGCCGGGCGGCGCGGACCCGTGGGTTAGATGCGCGTTCATAATGCAGAGGGAAATAACTCTCAGAATAACGTTATTAGCACATTTTACAACTTGAGGAATGAATTTTTAATAAGGGCTATGGTTCATTTAGTCAAAAAAAATTATCCAACGATTTACAGACCACTCTTTCCCCATGTAAGTCAATGGGAAAAGTGTTTCCGGGCCCAGCAACCTAAAGCTCGGTTGGATGCTACTCAATCGGAAGCTGTACCTGCACATGTGGATATTTATGTAAATTGTAAACCCTGTAATGATGCTGTATGATGTCCTTTTTGTTGTTCTATTTATGTTTTTACGTTTCATGTGGAACCTACTTGAGCAGGTCTCCCTTGAAAAAGAGATCAAGGATCTCAATGGGATACACCTGGATAAATAAAGGTTTGAAATGAAATGAAATGAAACGCAAGTGTAGTACCGCCGTTTGGCCACAACGAATATTCTCATCAGAGTCCGGCGCACTTCCTGGGGGCTTGGTCAGAATCTCCATTAAAAAGTGAAGGAGCGCAAATGAGAGAGCTGCAGCGAGAGCAAAAGTCTGATAATTGAGAAAGAAGAAACAAGAACTGCAAACAAAAACCTATGTTAAAACAAAGAAAAAAGACTTATAGTTTACATGATTACACAAATGATTTGTTTGCAACTTATAGTTTTATTTTTTAAATGTATTTAATTTTGCTTGACTCAGTTTTTTTTCTTTTACACTCATAGTTTTGCTTTATTCTGAGAAAGTGTTTATCTTTATGATACAAAACTAATCGCATAGTACTGGCAATGTGGGGAATACCGCGAAAATGAACAATAGGTTTATTGATATATATTTTTTATCGATAGTCATGAACTTTTTCTTGGGACAAAATAGACTCTCCATTAGCAAACGTTTACTCTGTGTTAACGTTATTTTGGTGTGTAAAAGTGAGATTACATAGATGATTAAATCAATAATTTATTCGTCCCACAACGGAGACATTTACAGCGGCTATAGACATGTTTTTGCCATCGATTATTTTATCATACTGTTCTGTACAGATGAGGCTGTCATAGATGTATTTATATGTGTGCCTGTGATTATTTTATCATACTGTACAGATGAGACTTTGTAATCAGATGTAGCCTATGTATATGTGTGTCTG